TTTTTTGGCGTTGCTGGGTGCAGGGCCTCTGGCATTTTGGGAAGCCCTCATGGTCGACAATGCCATCTTGAATGATGAATGTGCCAAAGCTTCAAATCAAAGCCACCTTGAAAAACAATGGCCCTCACTCAAGCAGCATTCACACAGCATTCAACACACATGTGCAAGCTGAAAGCATGATGTTCGTGCTCTGAGTTTGAGATGTGAGCCTTTCTGAGACATTGCTTGAGATTGTTTGAGATGTTTTGAGATTTGTTTGAGATTTTCTGGCATCGGAAACATGCACGTACTATTGCGTAATTAATAGTTAACTCCGATCTTGTCCTCGAGATTTGTTGAGATGTTTTGGGAGAAAATGTGTGCCAATACATGTATCAACTCCGATCTAGACCCAGGTCTGGATCAGCGGGGTTTCTGCGAGACATTTTCTCAAAAAAGTCCAGAACTTTCTAGACATTTATCTAGCTCATGTTTGCATCCATTTGATTCCTCCAAGTCATTTTTCTTTTGTGTTTAGTGTCCTTGTTGTCTCTTGTGTCTGTCCTTGTGCTAGCTCTCTAGCATTGGCCCAGGTCTAGAGTCTAGATCAGCATGGTTTCACTTCACTGTTCCTGTTCTCACTTGCGTTTCCCACTTACATTCCACAAGTCCACATACAAAAACGATGAACATGGTCAAGACAGGTCATCCCAAAGTTTACCTTCCAGTCAATTGAACCTGGTGGGGATTTAATGACTTTTTTCACATGTTTGATCATTTTTGAAACAATGCTTTTCTCATGTGTTCACGTGTTCATTGTTTTTTGCATTTTGTGGTGTATATATATATATATATGTGTGTGTGTGTGTGATCATCTTGATTGATTTTAAAAGTCTCACCACATTAAACTCCGACCTAAGACCCATCCGATCTGGGGTATCAATTTGCTTGGCTGAATCATCCTGTAGCTCGCCCATCTCTTCGCAGGGACGCTTCGGAAGAGTCTTTCAGATCTGCTGTGAAGCCTAATTCTCGTGGTCCCCCACATGTTTTTTCTGTCTTTTTTTAACAAGCTCAATCCCCACGAAACATGTCTTTTCCAACCGTGCCAGTATGTGCCACTCTCTAAATTCGTTCGTGCCAGGATCCCATGTAACTACACCGTGACGACCTGGAAACCGCTCCAGCGCTGCGGCGCTCGAAAAACGTCTCCAGCGCTCGAGGCTCGGGCGCTCGCATGGTGGCACGCTCCCGGGTGGCTCGTTCCTCTGTGCTGAGGCTCAGCCTCAGACAGGGAAGCAGCAACGAAGAGAGAAACACATGGACCATCCGAACGTCGATTTGGAATGCCTCAATGACCCGAAAGTAGGCATTGGATTGGAAAAAATCAAAGGCTGTCAATCAGCCAGCTCAGAGCCTGACCAAATTCCACTGGGTTTGTGGTTCACTGATTGGGCTCCCTCTGACAGCCAGCTGTGCCATGATTCCCTGAGCGCGGCAAATGAAAGCACATTGAGGAGACCTCCCTTCAAAATATACACATGTGCATTTCGGAAATTGGCAAAGGCTTATTATGGGGCGGCCCGTGACGACCCCGCGGTCGTCAAAAGAAACGGACCTCTTCTGTGGCTCTTTCTTTCGCTTCGGAGCCCATCCGACGACCTGGCGTCACAAGATGTGGCCCAAAGAACATGGCCATGAAGAAGGCTCGGCATGGCATGTGCGTTTGGAGGAGCACCAAAACTTTGGCAGGCCTGGCTCCCGATGCTGTGACCCCACGCTTTGAATTTGTACTTATATTCATGAAGGCAAATAATAAGAACAAGGCAAAGATCAGCAAAACGGGCACGGGTGGATACAGTAAGTCTCTTCAAGCTACTGTTGCTCAGGGATAGGACCTGCTACTGTGGTGCGCTGCGGCACCGAGGAGGAGGTATCCTGCTCGGGTATAGGGTGCCATGAAGTCGGTTTAAAGCATTGTCCGCTGGATCGTCGCTGGGTCGTAGGTCGGCCTCCTCAGCTTCAATCCGATTTCGTGGGATTGAAGCCCCCAATTTCTCAGACTGGAAGGTTCCGTGCACCCATCTTGTTGTGGTTATGACTATGAACACGATTGCAGCTTTTATTGTATATACCAGTAGTATAGGTGTTGCTGTAGCAATTGTACACCCGCACCAGCGGCGGTGGCATCAGCAACAACAACAACACCCGCCGCTAAGGAGGGATGTATTTTTTGTTATTGTTCTAAGTCCGGGTGACTTCTCAGCCTGGTGCCTACGAGTTTTCACACCTCCTCTCGCACGTGGCCACTCTCATGCCTCCAACGCAGCAAATCTCCTACAGCATCCATGGCCTGTCTTGAAGCCTGTCTTGCCTTTCCATAGAAGTGCGCCAAGAAGCCGGACTTCTCAGTGGACTCATGTGACTCACGCCATCGATCATGGCCCTGCACGAAGCAACTTCGACCAGATTCATCTTCCAAGTCGGGCAGGGCTGAACACTGGTAGAGAAGGTCCCACAAAGTGAGGCTGCAACTGCCTTTCCGACCTTTTCCCTTTGCAACCTTCTCGGCACACTTGGCCCTGAGCATTCCACGGATTGCTGGATGGTTTTCGAGGTCAAGGCCTCCGTGCCCCAGTTGACATAGCACCGCATGGGCCGCCGCGATGCCCGACAGGTAGGCCGCGGCTACTGTACCCACATGGTGACTGACGTAATCTCCAGCAAAGAACATCCGGTTCCCCAACGCTTTCCCAGCCAAGCGAGCAGATTCCCGGCCCTTGGACTCCTTGTGCCAAAAGGGCAAGCCCCAAGGTCGTAGGATGTAGGATCTGTGCAAAGGAGGAAGGACTCCAAACATCTCTCGAAGGCGTCCGAGCAAAAACTCGGTGACCGCAGCATCTGAGCGTTCGAGCAACTCTTCTGCCAAGCGCCCATCTGCTTCGGCCACCAAGACCGCTGGAGGCTCGCCCTTCGGTCGAAGCACCGGTGCGGTGAATTCGATGGAGCAAAGGTCCACGTGTTGTAGGAAGTGGTTGAAGTCCGTAGCACTGGTGCAGTTGGCCATGAAATCCATGAAAAACTCCACCTCGGGGGGCCAAAAGGCATGGTGGAAGTGCAGGGCCACCCGAATTGCATGGCCCAAACCGAGCTCTTGCCAGGCCCTCTTTTTCCAGGTTGGTAGCGGTTCGATGGCCACACGACCCTCTTTCAACTCCCCCAGGGGAAGTGCAACCACGGCTGCTTGGGCCGAAAGAACACGTGGTTGGCCATCTCGCTCTCCTTCAACCTGCACCCCGCTCTGACTTGCTCTAATTGAAGAAACTGCATGCTGCAAGTGGACCATGAGCTTCTGTGCAGGCTGAGCTGCTCTTGACACCAGGCCTTGCAGCACGCATTGCATGCCTTCTACCACTCGCCAGTCACTCCCAACCCCATCGACATTGTCATATTCGCAATGTTTCGCAGCTGAGAGCTCATGAAGCGGTACCGTCCAATCTTCCACGACCTCTCCGAAGAGGATGGCCGCAAACGCTGCTTGCTGTTCGGGGGTCAGCTGAATCTTCTTGTGATCAAATATCTGCTGAAAAACAAGCAGGAGACTCGCATCTAAAGAGTTTGCATCCTTCCATTTGTTGTATCCATCCTCAATTTGGTCCAGCAATCGAAACATATCAAGAACTACACTGCGTGGGACCACAGTACCATTGTGGTACACATCCATGTTCAGATTTCGAGTTCGGACCAGGCTACAATTTTGTTCCCCTGCCAGATATGTCAGGACGTTCGCGGTGCCATAGTGGATCCATGCCGGTCCCAAATCAACACCCAGGTCTCCATACTTGAGAGTTCGGATTCGTCCACCGACATCCTCGGATTTTTCCAATAAGGCCACAGAGAGGTTGGAATGGAGCAGATGATGAAGTGTGGACAGCCCAGCTGGGCCGGCCCCAATGATGATTACATCCGCATCATCCACACCTGCAGAACACACCACTAAACACAGAAAAAAACATAGCCGCTGCATCTCTTGGCCATCTTGCATCTGTGTGCAGTCATGTGCCATCTGCACCGCACAAGTCTAATCGCAGGTAACCGGCTAAACTGGCGAGCATCTGAGGCCTTAAGGGTTCACATCTGTGTGTCAGGACTCGTACCAATGAGGTGGGTGTTCGTCTGGCGAAGGCAATACTTGTTCAAACCATGTGGCTCGCTAGATCTCCCAAGAAACGCTGCGAACGCAAAATGCTCAAAGTTCTAGCATTTAAGGCAACACTACTGCGGGAAATGGTGCTAGCCCCTCTCCTTGGTTATGGCCCCAAAGCCATCCAAGAGTCTACAGCCCCCAATCGTGTGACCATCTCGACGTCATATGTTATACCAATCATATAAAAATATATGATATATACATCCTAAGGCCCCAAGTGCCCCAGCAGCAGCAGTAGCAGCAACCAGCAACCAGCATCAGCAGTAGTGCCGCAAACCAGCACCAGCAGACGACTGCAGGCAATGTTCAAAACACGCGCGCATGTCTAACTTGCAGCTTCTTGCTGGGTCTGTGGGGCGGTGGTCTCTGCGTCGTCGGTTGGCGCGTTCTTCCGCTTCTGGTGGCATGGTGGCTTGTCTGGCTGCGGCTGCTTCTTCCTCTCTCGTGGCTTATACAGGGCTTGCGCGGGATTTGTGCTTGAAGTAGACACCACATTAGCATGAGAGACTCATGTTGGGCATCCGGTGTCTTCAGGCCCCAGTCTGCCAAACGTAGCAGTTCATCCACAAACACTTGACTCTGACCCTTCTTTTCCATTCCTTTTCGTTGCATTCCTTTCCGTGGTGGAGGATTTTGCGCAGACTCTTTGCCACCAGCTGCATCAGGCAGGGAACATCGCGCATCGTCTTGACCCATGGCTACGTTCACTATTGAAACAAAAATGACACTGACTACAATATATCGAACTTGAGCTTCAGGATGAGGCTCAGGGTACAGTACATAGTTCTGACACTGCTTCTTGATCGTACAATGTGCAATTACATGGAAAGCCGGGTCTACCGTTGACCCCTTCCCCGGCGCGGCTGTCAGGAGGCCAGCTGACACAGCGCCAAGACGTATCCACAAACATGTTTGAGGACGGATCGGCAAGGGCTTTTTGTAGTCTGTGCGACAAAATCCTGTTCTAATGTTGTCGGCCTATGGGGCTGTCTTTGGTCGAGTGAGGACCAAACCCCAGGCTTGGGGTTTGATCAGGGTGTCAACCCTTTGTGGTCGATTGATATTCATACTAATGGGTTTAGGGTTTGGGGCAGGATGTAACGCCCCGTGGTCGAGTGATGCCATACTTCAATTTGGGGCTTGAGGATGTTAAACCCTTTCTGATCGAGTGGTGGTCATACACTTGGATTCGGGGTTTGGATCTTGGGATTTTGATCAAGATGCAAACCCTCTTTTATGGCCGACTAAAAACAGGGCCCTACCCTTGGATTTGGGGTTTGGATCACGATGTAAACTATTTGTGGCGAGTGCGGGCCATGCCCTTCAAGTTGAGGTTTGTGTGCGTTAATTTGCGCAATTGGCTTTTGTTTGCGCAAGACTCCTGCACGCACTCGCAAGCGGTCAATGATCACAGAGAGAGGAAGCTCCACAATGCCAAGAGCAGCGCAAAATTCGGTCCAGAAAAGAATTGTGACCAAGGACGTTGAGGATCAGGTGGAAGAGCTGTACGTTCAAAGGCAATGTGCTTCACCGATTCCTTGGCTAATCGACAAAATCTGCAAGCTGGAGAATCAACAAGTCCAGCGGCAGCCAATCTGTCTGCTGTCAACGTACAACCTGCGACTGCAGATTCCCAGCGAAAAGGGCAAGAAAAACCAGGGTTGGGCATAGCAGCCATTCTTGCTTTGGCAGACAAAGTCATTTTGATGTCCAAGAACCCAGATGCAGTCTGAATATCCTTCCTCGGTGTGATGCCTGCAGTGATATAGCATGTGTGTGCAGCCAAGTGATTAAGCACACGCTTCAACCACGATGCCGCAACATCCAAGTGGAGCAGCGTCAAAAATTGTTGCCATCGCCTTGCGGCAAATTGATTCACAGGACAAGCAGGGTCCGAGACATTCGTTTTGACCACGTGCAACAAAACCAGACTGAAGGAGTCTATTCCAAGCAACAGTTGCTTTCCCTGCCCTATGTTGTCGAACCTGATGATCCAAGACCTCAATGTGAAGTAATGCGGCAAGAGCTGCATGGTTCAGGAACAATCCATGAATTGAGGACTGTCCATCCCCTTCATCAACTGCAGCATTGCAAAACAAGGTCGAAGGCCTGAAGACTTGTCCGTTCTCATCAGTTTGCAGAACGGGTCTCCATTGGAGTTGGTGGGAGAAGAATCACTATTTGCTGAACTGGCAGCCCATTTGGATCCTTTCCCTGGAAAGCCCAGGGTTTGATCAAAAGAGAGGTCAAGAAAGCGAAAGGGCACACATTTCGCAAGGCAAGCGAACGAAATCATAGTGGTCATGGTCATGTATAGACCGTGCATCCAATGGCCACAGGGCATATAGGCACAGAGTTGAAACATCCAGAAAACAGGCCAGGGAGAGGTCCTCATCTTCACGTTGCCATGGAAGTAGTACGACCGCCATCAACCCAACGATGCACTATTGAAGTC